TTTATAAAAGAACAAAATAGGTTTCTGGGTATTTTTGAACGGTTGTTGAAGAAAGAATGTATAACTGACAAGGCTTGGTGTCACACACAGTCTCCCATACACCAAAACTCAACTCTGACGGGCATATATATATTTATTTCATGTAGTCACACAGGCTGAACTCTCTTGTTCAGAGCCACACAGGCTAAACTCTCTCGTATAGCCACACAAGCTGAACTCCAGCTACTTCCTCTGTCACACAGACTCTCCCCCAAAATCTCCACACTCGTTTCTCTAAAACTCACAGAATCACCTCAGAGACATCTCTCCTCCCACGCTCTCAGTCATCAGCCAATCATATCACACTTATCTCACTCTCCTTACATTACTGCAGTCACATGAAACATTTAAAGAAACACCCCCCCCCAAAAAAAACACCATGAAATCATTACACAAACAAATAGAACAAGTAATCTGAAATGAGTTAGGCACATCTTAACCAGAGCAGGGCTGGGGTTCAGTGTGGTAGAACGTCTCCGTGGCATGTAGGAGGTCCAGGTTCAGTCTCCAGTATCTCGAATTGATGTGAAAGACCTCTTTGGGAGAGGCTGCCAGTCCGAGCAGGCAATAATGACCTTGAGGGACCAAGAGTCCGATTCAGTAGAAGGCAGCTTCGTGTGTGTATTCCCGTGGCAGTGAGAGCATCATTAGCTCACCTGGGTGGTGGCCGTAGCCGTGCCCTGACGCGATCAAGCATTTTTCTTTTGTTTTGGAAGGCACTTCGCCACCTCAGGGCCGCTTCTCCTGCCTTCAGGTCATCCAAGCCTTCAATGCCTTTTCTCTCCCCCGCTCTCCTTTCTCTCTCCTTCCAGGAGTGGACACAGATGAGCTAGACAGCAACGTAGAAGACTGGGAGGAGGAGACCGTTGAATTTTTTATCAATGAAGAAATTATCCCCGTTACAGAGTCGGAGTAGTCCGAAAGCCGTGGTAAAAAGAAAAACAGCAGCTTCGTGACCGGGGGGGGGGGGGATTTTTCTGAACTGCCGGGGGGCTACGTAAACATCTCTCTCTCTCTCTCTGTCTCTCCTTTGCAGCCCCCACCATATCTTGTACCAAGAAAGGAGTCATTCGTTTTTTCAGAAGGTCTTTACACATCTTCGGAAATTTTTACAGATCCATATTTCTCTCTCTGGACGGTGAATGCGCAGAGTTCGTTCAGTCTGACACACTGTAGTGCCTTTTCCACCTTCACTGCCTACAGTGGGGTCCTTTGAAAGGCACTGCTTTTAAATTTTTATTCCTTATCGGAGGGGAGGGTCAGGTTTTCTTTTTTTTACAAAAGACACCCGCCCACCAGCATTTGCCGCTTTAACGCTCCAGCAGCGCTCCCTGTGACTCGAGTCGCTTGGAACTGCCACCTCCCCCACGGGCAGCCCCGGGTCTACCTGCCGCAAACTCACGATGCTTCCGTCTGCCAAAGACTCTTCGGGCGTCCCAGGCTCACGGACAGGTGTGGGTTTCGTCTGGGGCAAAGCCAGCGAGAGGCCAGTTCTCCGCTCCACGGGCTTTAGTGTGCTGAAAGAGCACTACAGCGGGCTTTACCCTCCTCCATTCAGATTGCGGCGGGATCTCTCCACGAGTTGAACATGGAAATAAAGCAGAGCTATATGCTTAACCCAGAAGGCTTGTGTTGTGTCTGTAGTTCTCCTTTTTGCAGAGGTCAATTTGGACTTTACCCTGGAGCAGGAACCTCTTAAATGTATATCTTTTATTTTATGTAGTCAGGCCTTTATTACGGCAACAAGCCATAGAACACACATGTTTAAATACAACATTCATAACATTCATGTCACTGAATTTAGGACAGTAAAATAAAACTCTATACAAATACAGTTGAGCATAATAAAATAAAGGAAGAACATAAAACAGACTATTAAAGGTAAAAGTAGAGGTTCCCTTCCTCGAAAGCCAGTTGAATCCGACTCTAGGGTTGCGGTGCTCATCTCCGTATCAAAGCCGAAGAGCCAGCACTGTCCGAAGACATTTCCGTGGTCATGTGGCCGGCATGACTAAACACCAAGGCGCACGGAACGCTGTTACCTTTCCACTGAAGTGGTACCTGTTTATCTACTTGCAATTTCTTGCTTTCGAACTGCTAGGTTGGCAGGAGCTGGAACTAGAGACGGGAGCTCACTCCATCATGCAGCACACTGGGGTCTCGAACTGCTGAACTACCGACCTTCCACAGCCTGCAGTTCAGCGTCTTAACCACCTGAGCCACCGCAGCAGACTATTAGGCAACTATTATTATATATTTGATCATGTATTTCGGATGCAGTAGCATGCTACCCAAAATTTTGCCAGAGTTTGGGTAATTGTCCGGTTCCCATCAATTAACAATCGGTTACACTGCTCGGCACCTGATTGTCCCACCATATCTGTTATAAGAGGAGTGATATATTTGTCACGGATCTTGTTATACCAGTTACATCTGAGCATCAGATGTATTTAAAACTTGTATTAGCCGCCTTTCTTCCTTAACGGAGTTCAAGGAGGCTTACAATAATAAATAGAAGAGAGTACGTAAAACCAAAATTTCAGATCACAATACAGGACAGCTTCAATCAAACATAGTCCTCAATAAAACTGTCTTCAGCTGCCTCCTAAAGGTGAAAAGAGAGGAGGCCAGGCACACGCCTCCCTGGGGAGGTTGGTCCATAATTGCGGGGCTGCCCCAAAGAGGCCCTGTCTCGTGTTCCCACCAAACAGCTAGTTTGGTGTAGTGGTTAAGTGTATGGACTCTAATCTGGGAGAACCGGGTTTGATTCCCCACTCCTCCACTTGCACCTGCTGAGGTGACCTTGGGTCAGTCACAAGCTCTGGCACAGCTGTCCTTGAAAAAGCGGTTTGTGTCAGAATTCTCTCAGCCCCGCCCACCTCACAGGGTGTCTGTTGTGGGGAGGGGAAGGGAAAGGAGTTTGTAAGCCACTCTGAGACTCCCAAGTGAAGGGCGGGGTATAAATCCAATCTCTTCTTCTCTTTTCTTCTTTGTTTGACGGGGGCAGTCAGGAGGGACTCTCTGTGACCCTAATTCCCAGGTGGGGATGTGTGGGAGAAGATAATCCTTCAGATACCCCAGTCCCAAAGCATGTAGGGCTTTAAAGGTCAAAACACCCTGAATCGGGCAGACATGCTTGTGGGTTTGGTTTTTATGTGCTCCACCAGTCTGGGGTGATGAGTCACTTACTGGCAGGGTGCCACAATGCTGGCAACAGCGTCCAGTGCAGTATACGCTGACTGTACCTTTGAGGGTGTCACTGGACAGATGGAAAGGTATTTGGTGCAGAAGACGCAGTCTGTGTTTGGTCCTGAACAGCCAGGCAGGATTTTTCTTAAAAGCTGTTAGCTGAAAACAGCCTTTGGAGCGCTGTGGTTTCAGAGAAGATGTCTTTCCTCGGCTAGGAGGCACATTCCATGCAGAATTAACAGGTGGGGTCGGCCTGCAAGGTATCCAAAAGAGACAGCGCTCATGTGGCTATATTTAACAATAAGTCTGTGCTGGCTTCATACACCATATTACCCCGATTCTGATACTGTCGATCACCAGAGAGTATAAACAGCGAAGTATATTATATATACGTATTCCCCAAATAAGGTGGTGGTGTTTTTAAACTTTTATTTAAATTTTATAAAGATAACAAAGAAGTTATAATTTATCCAATGCAGTTACATAATATACTTATAAAACTTTGGAAACAATACAGCAGGCATGTCCAACTTCGAACAGGCAGTGATCTATTTTTTCCGGCCAAAAGTGCTGGTGAGCTACCACCATGAAAATAAAGTTTTAAATTAGTTTCAAATTAGATTTTAATGCACTAAAGTTGGGCTCCACTGCCCCCCACCCCCCATTTATAATGCACCTTCTGTCGTTTACTGGTAAGCAAAAACAAAACAAAGATCCAGAAAGAACTGCGAACATCTTTTATTTTTTATTGAGTTATAACTTTCTTTAACTGTGGGGCTGGTGATCTACCTCTGACCCCTCCGCGATCTATCTGTTGGACATACCTGCAATACAGCAAGTATGATAATGTACATACCTAGATAGTAGGTGCAATATTACATCTAATGTGAAATTTTAGGATTAGAGTGAATTGGGATGTTAAGTGCTGGATTCATAATATTGTCTCTTGAGTCTTGCATAATGACAAGACACCCACTGTATGAGGGATTTTATTCTAGACCATGTTGGAGAACAAAAAAGAGAGAAATATAAGAGGAAAGGAGTAGAAGGAAAAGAGGGATTAACGAAGAAGCAGTTGATGGTAGGATTGGTTTGGAGGAGCAAGATCTTGTGTAAGAACATGAGTGATGAAACCATTTCTCAGTGAAGTTTGTTTTCCTGGGGTAGATATGCGATTGGAGTAGGTGATCTGTAATTTTCTCCATTATTAGATTATCCCAGATCTTTAAGTACCATTCTGTTAGAGAACGTAGAGAATGTGATTTCCAATGTTTTGCTAGTACCGTTTGGGTTGCTGTCAGCAAGCTATGTATTCATTCCCATCTGGCCTTTGGGATCGAGGGATCATTTTCGTGATGGGAAAGGAATGATTCAGATTTTAACGCAATTGAATGTCCAGTTATTTGTGAAATGTGTTGACGGATCTTGTTCCAGAACTCTTGTAGGCGAGGGCATGTCCACCAGCAGTGAACGAAAGTACTAACTTCTCCACAACCTTTCCAACAAAGGGCTGTGTTAGAGGGTGTAAGAAGTGCATGGATTTTTTAGGAGTGATGATGTATCATCTAGATGACATCTTGTAGGATTGTAGGCGGACATGTGCCCAAGATGGAGTAGAAAGAGAGGTGCGCCATATTGCTGACCACCGGTTGGCCATAAAGTCTAAGTTGCAATCACGCAACCAGTTATATTTTCTTAATGACTCCTCTTGGTCCCGTCTGATCATCATTTAGAACATCTTCTAAGCGTGTGAGAGGAGAATTCAAAACAGTAGAGAGGTGCAGTTGGGTAAACATATGTCTCAATTGGAGATAAAAGTACCATGGAAATAAGGTGTTTTTTTAAATCATGCAATAAGGAACCGAGCAATTTTGAGGATTTCATTCAGACCCACAGCATGGAGGCTGCGGCAACCTTTTCCAGTTTCTGGAAGCCAGTGTTGTTGAACTGGAAAGTTTTTGTTGGTACCGCTCCAGTATATCACGAGGCCGAAATGCTTTTGGATGCTACTGGGGTCTTGTTTACGTTGCCGTTGAACGCTGTGTGCAGCTAGGCCAAGTATACTGCCTGGAGCAGGAGAATTTCTAGCCACTCTGAACTTCCTTTCATTACACGGACTGACTTTCCCCAACGCAGAGAACACTAAACTTAGTGTTTCTGAGCGGGCTTTTAATTTACATCTGTTAAATCTCAGGGCTGTTCTCTTGTGTGCTCAGAAAAGGCAATATGGTACCGCTTTGGAACTGTGTCACTCTAGAATGCAGGGAGAGGGATTTGCCAGCAATGAATGCTTTTTCTGCGTACCAGGAACCCTGTAGCTTTGAGAGCAGACGTGCATATCTGTGTGAGCGGGTTTCCCCTAACATGTCTACGTTTGACAAGAACATGCTACAGTGAGGGAGCGTTCAAATGTAATTTCCTTGCTTGTAACACTGAAGGGATACCATCTCGAGAAAGCAGAAGCATATGGGTTTCTTCCCCATCTAACCCCCAAAATTTCGATTCGTAAAGGTGTAACACAGGGTTGCATCCTTTAATTTGTTTTTAAATGACCTGGCTCCATCATTGTTCGAATTTTACGTACATGTCCCTAAAACGGGCCAACGCCATATTCCAGTTCTTTTATATGCTGTCGTCGTCATTTTACTTTCATGTTCTCAAATCGAACTGAGGTGTCTTCTACATCAGTGTTTGACCTACTGTAATAACAACAGGTTAACTTTAAATTATGGGAAAACAAAGATCTCAGTCTTTTCCAAATCCTGGAAACAGTCCTCATAGACAATTCAGGGAAGACTGGAATTCTAGACTGGTCGTTATAAAAAATACAGCTAGCGGACCTCCGCAGAACAGTAATGCTGTGTGAGGTTAGTTACTTGCTGGACAATTTATGGGAGGTGAAATATTCAAACTGAGCCTGTCTGTGACTCTGAGCCCAGCCTAGTCTTCGGTGAACCCAAACTTCTCTGTCTTTCTCTTTAAATGTACTTGACGTGACTGATTTGGGAACACTGAATTGTAACTCCCCAAGGCAGACATAAACCATGCCAAGTAAAGAGCCAGACCAGGGCGTGGTGAGGAACAGAATGGGCTCCACATTCTCAAACCTGAAGTCTACCTTTATACAGTTAACTAGATTGGTGACAGAATGTGTGAGTGAAAGCGTCTTCGAGGACACCTGGGTGCTATGTTCAGTAACCTAGGGGAGGAGTCTTCCATACAGGTTCACGGCAGCTGTGCCTTTTAAGATATTCCCCTTGCTCCCTATGATATTATTTCTTATTGCTGGTTAGTAAACGTTGTGAAACAGGTTGTTGGACTAGAGGGACCACTGGTCTGATCCAGCAGGGCTCTTCTGATCTTATAAGGGAAGACTTTGACCTCTAGGCCCTGTTGTTGAACCTCCAGAGGAACAGGTTGGCCACTGGGGGTGAGACAGGGTGCT